TGAATCGTAATGTAAATATCTGATATGCAGGATGTATTTTCATTGTTACAAATTGAACATAATTAAAGCATAGTGATTAATCACAAAAACAATATGTAATTACATATGTGTTTTCCGATGGTCTTAGGCGACCCCTGTGAAAGGGTCGTTCGACCCCCAAAGGGGTCGCGACCCACAGGTTGAGAACCGCTGCTCCAGAGCCTCCAGTCACACTGAAAAGGCTTTCCAAATTTCTCTTTGGTCTGCAAAACACTGTTCAAAGTAAGCGGGCAATCTCTAAAATTGGAAAGGATAAGAACTGTGAAGCTTGTGAGAGGGGAAACCAAAGAGAGTTGGCTGGGGCTCATGCAATATGGGGAAACGAGAAATACCAGCAAGATCAGGCAAAACCATGGTGAGACACCACCTCTCCACCCCAAATCTCCACTGCATTTAGAAGAGACCCAAAGTCCTCCAGGTGAAAGTCTTTTGCAAGTTTACACTCTGATTGCTTTTTTTAAAAAAAACTGCAAGATTCTGGGCAGGTTGGCTCCCTTGGGAGATCGTTGATCCTCCCTCACCTGTCACCAGTCACTTCCTATACAGTGAAGACCCTCTCTGCTGGCCCCTGCTCCCATTCTGAATTCCATTCTCCAATCTCAGAACTCACACACACTTAGAAGATTTACCTTAAACCCACTTCTCCTACATATCTGCTCATGTATCTCAATAAAAGTTGACACTGACTTGGAGTGTTCTGTATTTCTGTGTACTAGAGTGTTAGTTCTTTGAAGCAAGAACTACCTTCAGTCTTTTACTTAATCCCTTTTTTGTGGTACCTGAGATTCTTTAACCTCTTAAAGAATGTCTGTTGACTTGATTGGCTATTTCAGAAAGGCAGGTACATTCCAGGGAAAGGATAATGAAAAAAAGAGAGAGAAAGAGAGAGAGAGGAACATGATTAATGACCTAATGCTCTCTAACAGATGAAAGTGTTTTCAGCTATTAGAGGCGCGCGATCCACAGCCAAGGGTATTGGAATCATGCTAAGAAAGGTAAGTTCCAAAAGAAGCTTGATCATCCGACAGATTTACTGGCCCTAATAAATAGTTTTCAAGGTACATACATTAGCTTTTTTTCTTATAAATATCAAAATAGAAATGAAGACTAATGCCCCCCAAGATGTTCATGCCCTAATCCCCAGAATCTTTACATATGTTAACTTTGTAGATATGATAAGGGTAGCATGAATTATCCAATGGGCCCAATGTGTCATATCAGTCTTTACAAGGAAAAGGCCATTCCCAGCAATAGTCAGTGGGAGAGAGATGTGACAATGGAAGAAAAGGCAGAAAAGATGCAACATGCTGGCTTGGAAGGTGGAAGAAGAGGTCCATGAGCCAAGGAATGTGGGCAACATCCAGAAGCCAGAAAAAGCAAGGAAACAGATTCTCCCCTGGAGCCTTCAAAGGGAACACAGTCCTGCCAACACCTTGACTTCAGCCCAGTGAAAACTATATTGGAATTCTAACCTTATGAAACTGTAAAATAAACTTCTGTCATTTTAAGCCATGCATAATCGGTTACAGCAGCAACAGAAAGTGAACACAAAAGGCTACCCTGGGCTTCAGTATGGCCCTCAAAACTGGGGAACAGGCATTCCCTGCTGAGCCCCCAAACCAGAGAGATTTCTTATTCCAGCTGAAACTATCCTTCTACTAGAGGCCTGGTGCACAAAATTCGTGCACTGGGAGGGTGTCCCTCAGCCCAGCCTGCCCCCTCTCACAGTCTGGGAGCCCTCAGGGGATGTCCTACTGACAGCTTAGGCCCGCTCCCCAAGGGAAGCGGACCTAAGCCACAGTCTGGCCACAGCGGATTGGAGCATGCCCCCCTGGGCTGGTCCGCTGGGGGCCTTGGTCCCAGGGCAGGCGGCGCAGCATGCCTGCCTGCAAACCCCTCGTGGGAGTGGCCTTGGAGCTGGGCAGTGCCACACTCCCGCCAGGGGCCTTGCTCCCAGGGCAGGCTGCACAGCATGCCTGCCTGCAAACCCCCAGCAGGAGTGGCCTCGGAGCTGGGTAGCGCCGGGTCTGGGGGCAGGCTCCTAGCCGCTCAGAGCCCGTCCGCAGCCCTGGTGTGTGGTGTGTGTCCGCTGGGGCTGGGGGCGTGCTCTGAGCTGGTCGTGACGCAGCTTCCTGAGCTGGTCATGATGTCCTGAACTAATTTGCATATTTCTCTCTTATTATATAGGATTCCCCCTTTTCCTCTCTACAACTTGGCTGGCTTTTTTCTCATCTTTCAAGACTCAGTACAAACTTTCTCTCCTCTGAAAAATCTTGTGGTTTTTTTTCTATATAGGCTATAAAGGTCTGAAAAGTGGGGACCATGTCATGTTCTTTGTACATGTTAGTTTGAAGGATGGAATTAATTAATCATCATTTGATGGAGTGTAAAAAATAAGGAACAATCAAACTGCTTTCTTATCACTGCTTTTAAGAAAAAAGATCACTCACTCACTAGGATCCACTTTCATTGACATTCATCAAGTCCTACCTTAGTCTTTCTCCTCCTCTCTTTAGACACACACACACACACACACACACACACACAACCTGGCAGTTAAATCCCAGTTCCCAGTTTGTGGCTGTTTAGAGTCAGACGAGTAAGCAATACATTGATCCCTGATCAAAAAAAGGAGCTGTTAAAAAAAATAAAAAAAGAGCTGTTGGAGGTCAAAGGCTGAAAGCAGAAAATTTCAAGGAAAATTTAAAAGGCAGGGAAAAAGATTGCAAAATGTGGAGTTTAAACCCAGATCCAAGATTTGAAAATTAAATAACAGGACTCATGTGTGATAGTTTTTAAAATATATCCACAAACACTTTGACACTCCTTTTCCAAAAATGTGAAGCCTAATTTCCCCTCCCTTGAGTGTGGGCAGGAGTGGGTCCCTTCTAATGAATATAATATGGCTGATGTGAACAGCATAAGATCAAGTCAAAAAAGGCATTACAAGTTCCTAGCCACATGAGTGACCCATCTTGGCCTAAGATCCCAAACCTTCAGACAATCGCAGGCCCACATCTTGACAGCAACCAGAGGGGAGACCCTGAGCAGGAACCACTCAGCTGAGCTGTTCCCAAAGTCCCAACCACAAACACAGTGAGGTAATAAATGTTCATTGTTTGAAGCCACTAAGTTTGGGGGTTATTTGTTATGCAGCAAAACAGATAGTCAATATAAATGAGATACATTCCCTAGGGCTGTGGTCGGCAAACTGCGGCTCGCAAGCCACATGCAGCTCTTTGGCCCCTTGAGGGGGGGTCTTCCACAAAATACCACATGGGGGCGCGCACGTACAGTGCGATTGAAACTTCGTGGCCCATGTGCAGAAGTCGGTATTTTGTGGAAGAGCCACGCTGAAGGGGCCAAAGAGCCGCAGTTTGCCGACCACTGCCCTAGGGCAAAGGTGACAAATTGGAAAGTTAAGAACCTGATTTGGTCTACAAATAAATTTTTCTCAGCTCAAAATGGTAGATTTTTTATGAGCCAAATTTTAAAAATCATTCAATTCTATTTAGAAATCTAGATTGCCAGTCTCGCTCAAAAATGTGTAGGTCTGGCAACACAAAAGCCTGCATTTCCATCTGGTAGCCATGAGCGGGAAGAGGACCAGCCTTCTGCTATAGAAGACGCATGCTCTCCCGAAGTGCACTGGAGTCCCCACTAACCCCTGTTCATGCCTACACTACACCAACTGTGTGGCTTTTGCAGTGCTGTTCCTCTTTTAGTAGAGAAGTATTTGCCAGCTCCCATATCTCTATCAAAAGTAGGAGACAAGCCCTGACCAGTTTTGCTCAGTGGATAGAGCGTCGGCCTGCGGACCGAAGGGTCCCGGGTTCGATTCCAGTCAAGGGCATGTACCTTGGTTGCGGGCATATCCCCAGTGGGGGGTATGCAGGAGGCAGCTGATCGATGTTCCTCTCTCATCGATGTTTCTAACTCTCTATCCCTCTCCCTTCCTCGCTGTAAAAAATCAATAAAATATATTTTTTTAAAAAGTAGGAGACAAAAGATATACTGAAAGGGCTGTGTGTCTTAAGAAGTCTAAGAAAAAACTTATTTCTTAGTGGAAGTGAAGAATATTCTTGCATGTCTAATATGCCCTACATGTGTTTCTGTATCAAATACACACAACTTAAGATCCCATTTTTTTTCTTTCTCTTGGAGCTTTGCTCATTTAGACTACCTGACTAGTCCCTGTAGGTAAGTGAGTTTGCCAAGCTTGCTCTTTCTTATGATCTCTTTGAAATGGGGCTAAAATAAGTCACATGAACTTGTCAGATCTGGCTCATCAGCATCTTCAAGATAGCTGCCAATACTACACCTTCCCTCTCATATTGCATGTTTTGAGAAGAACCTTGTTGAGACCATAGCATCTATAAAAATTTTCTGGTTTTGTACATACAATAATTGTTTAGCCTGAACTTCTAAATGCTGACTCAAATTGTGTCTGAGTACAACCATAGCAACTAATCAAAGACATAATCCCAAGCACAACCCCTGCTTCACCATAAATGTATACCTTTTACTATTATTAATATTTCTAGGAAATCAACATTGAAAATGAGAGTCAGAAAAATACAGCACACAGAGCAAGCCTGGCCCACCACCAGCTTTTGTGAATGACGTTTTCTTGGAATACAGCCATTCTCGCTCATTGACATACTGTGGCTGCCTCTGCACCATAGTGGTTGAGCTGAGTAGTTGTGACAGAGACCTTATGCATGACCTGCAAAACTAAAAGATTTACTACTTAGCCAAAGCCTGAATGGGAAGAATCAAACACAAGTATGTGGATGGTTAATAAGCACCCTGCTTCAAAAGAACACAACACGGGAGAAGATAAAGTCACCATGCCCTATCCAGCATCTTTGCTTAAAATCCATAGTTGATCACTCTAAAGCTTTCCTTACCTTACAAATGAACATAAGTAGAACAGGTTTTTAAGTTGAAAATAAACTGACCGTGGCTAGTTTCTGAACATCTTCATCTGATGCTCCCAGAGACGCCAGGCCTATTTCTTGTGAAAATTGAGCAAACTTGGGGTCCGCTAGTAGTGGAACATGTCCCAGAAGTTCATGACATGTGTCTCTGACAAGAAAAACATCACAAAGAAATGTTATGCTAGAAGCTTTAACTATCACTGGTAGAACAAGACTTAAAATTCTAAACATAACCTTGCTATGGTTACTCTAATTAATTTCTGTTAATTTCATCAATTCTAAGACTTTTATCACATTTTAGCAACTCTGAAATCCAGGTGTACCTTACAGTTAATGGCATCTTAAATTATGATATATAATATTTTTAGTAAAATATTAGCGACTATTATTTACAAGTGCTTACTTTATATCAAGCACATAAGTGTTTTATATATATATATATATATATATATATATATATATATATCCTATCTAATAATAGACAAAGATTGAAATTAACCATACCTCCGCTATGCTTCCCATTGGCTAATCAGCGAGATATGCAAATTAACCACCAACAAAGATGGTGGCCGGCAGCCACGCAGCTGAAGTGAGCAGGAGGCTTGCTTGCTCCAGTGATGGAGGAAGCCAAGCTTCCTCCCTGCTGCAGCCGAGCTCTGAGCTCCACTCTAAGCAACAAAGTTGCAATTATAGAAGCTAAACAAACCCCAGATACCTGCTTTCAGCAGGCCGTGGTCTTGGAGCTGGATCAGCAACAAAGTTTCAATTATAGAAGGTAAATAAATCCCAGAATTTAAAAAAAAAGAAAAAAAGGAGAGGCTGGGAGCTTCAGTCGCCAGCGGGCTTGGCCAGCCTGAAAACAACCATCAGCTCCTCATCCAGGCTGGCCAGGCACCCCAGTGGGGACCCCCACCCTGAAGGGTGTGTGACCAGCTGCAAACAGCCATCAGCCCTTCACCCAGGCTGGCCAGGCACCCAAGCGGGGCCCCCACCCTGATCTGGGACACCCTTCAGGGCAAACCAGCCAGCCCCCACCCATGCACCAGGCCTCTATCCTATATAGTAACAGGGTAATATGCAAACTGACCCTAATAGCAGAAAGACTGGGAATGACTGGTCACTATGACACACACTGACCACCAGGGGGCAGACGCTCAATGCAGGAGCTGCCCTCTGGTGGTCAGTGTGCTCCCACATGGGAGAGCTCTGCTCAGCCACAAGCCAGGCTGATGGCTGCCAGTACAGCGGTGGTGGTGGGAGCCTCTCCTGCCTCCTCAGCAGCGCTAAGGATGTTCAACTGCAGCTTAGGTGTGCTCCCCGCTGGCAAGGGGACATTCCCCGAGGGCTGCCAGGCTGCCAGAGTGATGTCTGATTGCCAGCTTAGGCCCAATCCTCCAGGGAGCAGGCCTAAGCCAGCAGGTGGTCATCCCCCGAGGGGTCCCAGACTGCGCGAGGGCACAGGCTGGGCTGAGGGACCTCCCACCCACCAAGTGCATATATATATGGCCAGGGGCTGTCATATCGGAAACAACCGAATGGATGACCGAACAGGCTACGTGGGGTGGCCAGGCTGGCAGGGGGGTTAGTAAGGGGCGACCAAATGACTGAGCAGCAGGCTGCGTGGGGTGACCAGGCTGGCAGGGGGGGCAGTAAGGAGCGACCAGGCCAACAAGGGGCACAGTTGGCGGCAATCAGGTTGGTAGGAGGGGCAGTTGGGGGTGACCAGGCCAGCGGGGGGGGGGGCAGTGATGGGCAACCAAGGCTGGTGGAGGGGGCAGTTAGGGGTGACCAGGTCAGCAGAGGGGGGCTGTTGGGGGCGACCAGGTTGGTAGGGAGGGCAGTTAGGGGTGACCAGGCCGGCAGGGGGGCCCAAGGCAATCAGGCAGGCAGGCAGGTTAGCAGTTAGGAGCCAGCAGTCCTGGATTGTGAGAGGGATGTCCAACTGCCGGTTTACAGGATTGGGCCTAACCGGCAGTTGGACATCCCCTGAAGGGTCCCGGATTGGAGAGGGTGCAGGCTGGGCTGAGAGCCCCGCCCCTGCACAGATTTCATGCACTGGGCCTCTAGTGTGTGTGTGTGTGTGTGTGTGTGTGTGTGTGTAGATTTAATCCTCAAGAGAAACTTAGAGGATTAAAGTAACTTATTAGTACAAGATCCTGTTGCTCAGGGGTGAGCCAACTACAGCCATATACCAAATCTGGCCCACTGCTTGTTTTTGTAAATAAAGCTTTATTAGGAAACAGTCATGTTTATTCATTTATGTATTGTCTGTGACCCCTTTTGACTAAAACAGCAGAGTTGAGTAGTTGTGACTGAGATCATATGGCCCACAAAGCCTGAAATATTTACTAGCTGGCCCTTTACAGAAAAAAAGCTTGCTGACACTTGCTATAGGTAGTGATAAAACCAAAATGTGGTTTTATCCAGCTTGTTATGATTTCCAAATTCTTGCTCCTAACCCTTCAGTTGCACTGCATCTCATGTTACATTTTGCCAGGCTCTGGGAAACAGCAGAGGATCATATTGTCGTCATCAAAGTGGCTTTCCCCATAGTCAATTTATCTGCCTATAACACAAGCAATTCCCTTGAGCCTACAGAATGCAAGACCTTCCTAGCCCTCTGCTTTGGCTCACCTGAACTAAGTAATAAAAGAAGCTTAGAGCCTTGCTCATTTGCCTGAGCTTCCATTCGGAGCCAAATGACCAGGCAAAGGCAGTATGTGTCACAATTTATCAAGGCAGATGACTTACTGAGTCATCTCCATGAATCACAGACTGTTTCCTGAAACCACACTATATTGGAACAAAGTCCCCTATGCCTCTCTGGAAATGGATCAAGAGGCAGCAATATTTTATTTTCTTTACAAAAACCAATTAGCCAGGTAGTAATTGAAAGATGTTTCCTGATTTCACCTGGGCTCCTCTGAAGTGTATCACATCAAACAGGTGCCATAATATAAATGCCAGGTGCAACCACCATATTACAAGTATAAAGGTTGGGTGGTTATGCGGTTGAAGCAAGTGAATGGTGGTCAAAGACACAAGATTGATGCCCACATAAAACAGATGGCATTACTCAATCAAAAAATCTTGTTCCCACAACTGAAACCACATCCCCACTGGCCAGCCACTTCATAGACACATCAAGTGAAAGGGCAGCCAATTGACATATGTGGACATGATACTAAAAGAAACTCCAAATTCATTCTTTGTCAACTGTGTGCCAAAAGCTTTCTTCTTGCACATAAGCTGAATGTGTGGAGAATAATATGTGTTGTTTTTTTCTCTAATCACAATGCTTAAGGCAAAGAATTGGGGACCAAGCCTCTCGTTTTACCCATAAAGAAAATAAAAACAGAAAGAAATAAAAGGAAAGATAGCATATGTTGAGTTCTTACTGTGTGCTGGGTACTGTACAAAATGTTTTTCTATCACATTATTACTTTAACCTTCACTTACAAAGAAGTCTTATTATTCCCACCTAACAAATGGGGAAGCTAAGAGTCAGTAAATGTAAGCATCTTTGCAAGGTCACTCTTAATAAAAGACAGAGACAAGATTTGAAATCATCTGCCTTAAAGCTATGCTCTTTCTGTCCTATCATTCTAACTTGTATTTGTAGAGTAAATGAGAAGGGAGGTGGGCCTTAGTTTGTGAGGAGGAGAGTTAAACCAAGTTAGTTAGCACAAGTAAAAATGTAGTCAGTATATCCAAAGTCTCTTGTACAGTGGGGCCTTGACTTACAAGTGTCGCGACTAACGAGTTTTTTGAGATACCAGCTGTCTCTCAGCCGATTTTTTGCATTGAGTTGATAGAGTAATTTGAGTTAACGAGCTCCTTAACGAGCTCCTTAACGAGTTCAGTCTCGGAACGAATTAAACTCTTAAGTCAAGGCCCCACTGTACAACTATTCAGTAGTCTTCAACCCTCCCAATTACTTGAGGAGCCTTTTTAAAGATACCAGTGAATGGGTCCCACCTAACACCAATTCAAGTCGACTCTTTGGGACCTGAGCCTCTGTATTTTTTTAAATTCTCACCCAAGGATATGTTTTTTATTGATTTTAGAGAGAAATGAAGAGGAAGAGAAAGAGAAACATGGATCAGTTGCCTCCCATACGCCCCCCAATGGGGAATCAAACCTGCAACCTAGGTATGTGCCCTGACCGGGAATTGAACCTGCAACCTTTTGGTGTACAGGACAACACTCAAACCAACTGAGCCATACCAGCCAGGGCTGAACATCTACATTTTTTTTTTAATTTTCTGGATGATAATGAGACACAGCCAGAGTGGAGACCCAATTCATAACTGATGATGCTAGGAGCTCTGCTAGCAAGCTTCAAGCAACTAGTACCTGAAATTGAAGCTGAATGTGAGGATGTACTTTTGAGCTGCCCAAATTTAATTTCACTAGAACCACATCATTAATACCGGAGAATAATGAAAGGAGGTGACAGAAAGGTCACCAGGTAGCTAATTATTCCTTTGTGTGTATTTGATTCAGTTAAATGTCTAATACTTCCATGCTAGGAGTGGACCCCATAGACTCACGCCTGTGATCAGTTTTTTAAAAGGTCATGCTGTCTGCACCACTGTTGGAATTAGGACCAAGTGCCCTCCCCCGCCCCCGAATAAATCTGAATTCACCACTGTAAATACTAAAGCATCCCACTGATCCAGGCAGGAAAATGTGACAACAATCACTCCAAAATTAGACCAGATGTCAAACTCCAGGGACATACTGATACTGGTATTAGCTCACGGTCTAAATAAGCAAAGTGAGCAGAAACAAAACTAACTTTTGCGGCCAACACATATTAAATGCTTGCTGTGGGCCAGGCACAGAGCTAAGTGCTCATAATGTGAGCATAGGAGAGGTTGTGCCTACTGCGCTGGTGAATTCTTGGTGCGGTACCGGATTTACTTCTGAGCTCGTTATGTACTTGAGGAAGCTGCTGCAGCAAGCAGCCTTCCATCTACCTAGATCGTGATGGCGAACCTTCTGAGCTTGGTGTGTCAGCATTTTGAAAAACTCTAACTTAACTCTGGTGCCGTGTCACATATAGAAATTTTTTGATATTTGCAACCATAGTAAAACAAAGACATATTTTTGATATTTATTTTATATATTTAAATGCCATTTAAC